CAGCCCCGCATTCCCGCAGCCCCGGCCCCGGCCCGCAGTCCCGCAGACCCGGGTGGAACCCCAGGCAGAAACCCGCCGACCGTGGGCGCGTCGGGGCCCCTCCCGGCGACCGGCCCTCGGAGCCTGCGCGCTCGCTTCCCTGTATGAAAGCTTTCAGTTCATAATCAGTGTGGTTGTGGGTGGATCTTCGTCGCTGTTGTCGTTGCCGGGTTGTTTACTTTGGGTATTCAGGTTTTTCTTCTTGGGTGGAAGCATTTGTATTTTAACACTCATTGCCGATTTCGACTTTCTAGACAAACGGAAACAAAAGCCTACTTCATTCTCAGTTGCTTCATTTGATTAAAGTTAAATATTAAGTTAAGAAGTTAAATAGGAAGTGTGTTTGTGTGTGGTCACCGCTCGCTCCTGTCTCAGCTGAAGTGAATGTAGTGGTGTAGCTCCCAGGGGATCCGTTTAGTCACACGTACATACACTGAGCGTGTAATTCTCCTTAACAGACAAGCTGTAGAGGAAACTAAAATTTCACTCACTAGTCCTTAAAGGACTAAGTAATGTCACTGAAGCAGTCTTTTTGCCTAGGCAAGTGTTTTATTTGACATTTGTATTCCAGTGGTGAAACTTCTTTTGAATAACTTAACAGCTTAACAATGTATGGCAGAGAGCTGGAACCCATGTTGTGGGATGGAAGGTAAGGTCAAGGGTAGAGGGGATTGGGTGGGGTGGAAGAGATGGAGGAGAATGATGAGAGGAGTGTTATTGATTATGATGAATTATACTGACAAAGGAACTGTTTGAATTTAAATCTTGGTAAAACTAAAAGTAATTTTAAGAATTAGAAAAAATTTTAAAAAATTGGTTTACTAGGGTTGAAAATTAAAAATTTGATGTATTGGATTTGATTGTTCAAGGGAACATCAGACACTGGGTAAATATTTGTAGGTGAAATTTGCATCCTAAGAAATCTTTTGTTTTTGTCAGTCGTGGGGCTTGAACTCAGAGCCTGGGCATTGTCCCTGATCTTTTTTGTTCAAGGCTAGGGCTCTACCACTTTGAGCCACAGCTCCACTTCCCTAAGAAAGAATCCTTTTAGAGAGAGGGGTTTATTTAGTTCCATTCCTTAATATGTAAAATAGGAATACACACAAGAATATTTCCTACTGATTCAACTGTTACTTTTCAGCATACAATCTGAATGCACATAATCATTTTGCTTTGTCCTAAATTGTAATGTAAGTACATTGATGTGACCGTAAGGATTTCCCCTTTCTATATTATTACATAATGACATTTTAAACAGTAAGAATTTCATTTGCATAAATGTTTAATTCTGAGCATTTCTAAATAACAGGTGGACTCCAAGTCAAAAATGAAAAGAACAGACTATCTCTGAATTCTCTGAAACCTGAGAGCAGACCAGAAAAATCCAAATACAAGCCATTTTGGGGGAAAATATTTTACCTTGACTTACCTTCTGTCACTATATCCGAAAAACTTCAGAAGGACATAAAGGATCTGGGAGGGGTAAGTGAAAAGTGTACACTCAATTTTTTTTAATCTGTTATTCTCTTTAGCATTAATGAACAGCTATTTGGGGCCTAGAAGTGACATTAAGTGGTAGAGCACCTGCCTAGCATATATGAGGCCTTAGACTCAGTTCCTAAAGCCAATAAAAAGAAAGAAAAACATTATCTTTTAATCCTTTGTAGCTGGACAAAACGTTCAGGTATCTCTGATTGGTGGTCCAATTCCCAAAATGTAAGGAATAAAATTTCCCGTATCCCAGTAAGCTGCTCATTGCCTTCTCATTGTGATGTTAGGTTATCTTCCAGATAACAAGAGCTGCTTGATGATAATTATTGAAGAGCTATATATCATATACATGTAGGCTACTTATTTGTGGTTTTATTATGTATGGTTTTGACTGAGCATGGTCAAAAGTAAATGTAAAAAAATCAAACGAATTTCAAAAATGAAAATTGTATGCACTGTATAGCTCAGTTAACAAAAATCACCTTGCTATCTACTGTTTCCCTGTACTTAGTTTTATGAAAATGTGCAAAGTAAAAAACTTAGGATAATCTGCCCAAGCCAAAAAGGGGAAATATGAAGTGCTTAATTTAAGCGACAATTTCAAAAGGCAGATTTGTTGAAAAACAACATGTCTTTAGCAGAAGTTTTGTGGTGTTATCTGAAATGAATCAAGCATTATAAGTATGCTACTGAACTCTATATATCTTGAGTATTCATAGTTTTTACTTAACTATATACCAAGAGTCTACTGCATATCTTGAGAAATACTAAGTAAACAGAATGAATGTCATTAAAGGAACATAATTTTGGATTAATTTTTTTTTTTTTTTTTTGTCGGTCGTGGGGCTTGAACTCCGGGCCTGGGCGCTGTCCCTCAGCTCTTCAGCTCAAGGCGAGCGCTCTACCATTTGAGCTACAGCGCCACTTCCGGTTTTCTGGTGGTTTGTTGGAGATAGGAGTCTCATGGTCTTTCCTGCCCGGGCTGGCTTTGAACCTCGTTCCTCAGATCTCAGCCTCCTGAGTAGCTAGGATTACAGGCCTGAGCCACCAGTGCCCGGCTTGGATTAATTTTTTAACCTTCTTTCCTACCTTGTATGATGATTAGATGGTTAGGAAATTAGAAAACTCAGGTAAAATTCTAAGATTTCTTTGGATTAAAGTTAATACTGGTTGAATATTAGCAAGTGAAGTTACTAAGATTTTTCTTATTCAAAAAGTTCTGCTAGTAGAACCTGGGTGGCTTAGGCCTGTAATTTTAGCCACTTAGAAGTTGAGATCTGAGGATCCCAATTCTAAGCCATCCCACACAGGGAAGTACTTGAGGATTTTTTCCCCTCATTAATCACCATAAAGCTAGAAGTGGAGCACTAGTTTTGAGCACAAAAGCTCAGGAACATGGACCAAGTCCTGAGTTCAAGCCCCAGGACCAGCACACATGCAAACAAAATTCCTATTAGACTTTTAAGTTTCTCAAGATTAACAACTTTGATTACATGAGTCCTATCATTTTACTCTCAGGCTAGAAACCCAAAATATTTTTTTCTGGAAGCACTTGTTGTGATATTTTACTTACCTATCTTCTAAAAGTTTTTCTATTTTTGCTGTTTATTTTCACATGTGAAAAGTCTCATGTTTATAATAGGAGTTATACTGATCATAATGCCCATATAACTGCATTTGTAAATGTAATGTTTAATAGCTCTGCCACCATATTCATGTTATCTCCCAAGGGTGTATTGTTAATTAGTTAAGGGCTTTACTCTAGGGTGAAGATTATTTTAGAAATGAAGTAGTTGAGGTCCAGAGATGATGTGTGACTGGTCTAATCAGAGTAGTAATCATCGAAGTATTCCAGAGTAACAACACACCACAACTCTCTTCCTTTACAGTGGCTGGACTGTGGCTGCATGATACACAGTTTTCTAGCTTTTTTAAATATGGTGATTAGCCTGTTAACTCTAGGTTTAGTTTTTCTAAATCAGTGGTAATTTATTTATGTTTTAAAGATGTGGAATCCTTCAGAAAAATAATATTCAGAAGTCCAAAATTGAAAACCTAAAAGAACTCTGGCTAAAGTCCTAGCACAGTGGCTATGGTAGGAATCCTGTCCTCCTTTTCCTTTCTTGGTCCTTTCTTTCCTCCTTTTTTCTTGGTTCCTTCTTTCCATCCCTACTCTTACCCTTGTTGTGTTTTCTTCCTCATTCCAAAAGCAGTTTCTCTAGTACTTTAATTAGACAAATTTTTAATTATTTCTGCCATACATAGTAGTTGTTAAGCTCTTTGATCTTACACACTTAAAATCTCTATCCTAAAATGGTTTTAGGTACCTTTATGAGCATATTAAAAGCATGTTTTCAAAATTTTTCCCAAAGTTGTAAGTTTCCAGTTTAATTTGACTTATTAACTTTAAAAAGAATTGTCTAATCTCTCTTCATACTGTCTCTACCATGTAATTCAATTGTATTCATTCTTTAGGTCCTGACTTCTGTCTCTAGTACATTTTCCATCTCTACCACTAAAAAGATTTCTATCACTAAAAAGATTTTGTCATAAAGATTGCCTATGTGAATATAAAGGAACTTTGACCTCTAGATATGAATTGTAAGGGTTAGGATACAGTATTAATAACTAATTTTATTGAATAGACATTCCTTTAAAAGAATGTAATTATTCTTTAAATTTCAGTTTTACTCACTCCCTTTATCCTTTTTATTACCTCAGATCATCCCTGATGGTTTCTTTTTATTTAATTGACCAATTCTGTTTTCTTTCTAGTTCTAATAAAAATATATTAATATCATTTATCTCTATGGCATATCTAATCAATTTAAACACTAAGTATAGAGCAGTAAATTCAGACATAATGAAGAATTATCTTTAATAGTGGCAAGAAAAGCAATACTGTCTTAATGATGCTGAGCTGGCTTTGATCAACTCATGCCTATAATCTGAACATTTGGGAGGCCGAGTCAGGAAGATTTTGAGTCACAGGTCTGGGTTACATAGACCATGTCTCAGGAAAAACAAAAAGATAGAACTATCTACATTTAGATCCATATCTAAATAGTTTTGATTATAATAGGGCAGTTGGAGGAAAACAGATATGCAAGGGATGATACCATGGTCTGTCATGAATTTGAAAACAAGAGTTATATATTTTGTGTTGTGACCTTGAGTCATCAGAAATAAATTTTGAGTTTACTCTTTGAAAGGCATACGTTTCTAATAAATCAAATACCATAGTAATACTAATTGAACAAATACATATAGTATGCAGGGCATATATATGTGATGCCAGCCAGGTGGTCATTCCTGTCCAGCTACTTGAAGGGTAGCATTTGGAAGAGTAATAGTCTGAGGCCAGCCTGGCCAAAAAGCAAAACTCCATCTCATCTTAATAAACAGCATGCTAGCATTTGAGTCTAGCTTCACAGAATGAATAGATATAAGTCCCTGGTTGGTTCAACAGAAAGCACAAGACCCTCTGGAAAAAAACAAACAAACATGAAAAAGAGTAGGCAACATGGCTCAGAAGGTAGAGCATTTGTTTAGCAAAAGCCCTGAGTTAAAACTTCACTACTACCAAAAAATAAAAGATATATATAGCACATGGAAGCTCATTCAGAAATTATTTCGCCAGTGTCTCCTATATACCAGCACTGCTTTAGGTGCTGAGGATGTAAAAATAAGTAAGATAAGGTCTACTTTGTAAGAATTATCGATTTAGCAAGAGGTTAAGACAATATACAATAGAGAAGTGTGGCTGTTTCAGCAGAAATACAAAGACATTGCTATTATAATTCATAGATGAGAATGACCTCTCAGACATTAGCACTCATAAGAGATGTTACACCTGGATCTTGAAGACCTCGTAGGAACACACCAAGCAAAATGAACATAAAATAGAAATACTTATCTACAGGGTTTGTGCAACTTAAAAATTTCCAACATATTTTGAGCTTGGGAAGAACTAAATGCAAAAGGTAAAATCCTAGGACAAAGGGCAAACCAATGTAGCAGTGTTACTCATTAGACAATATGTTGGAAATGAACTATACAACTTGGGGGGTAGTTGGAAACTGGGAGGAAAATGAGGGAGGGGATAACAAGTTTGACAGTAAGATGTACTAACTACCTTACGTATGTTACTGTAACCCCTCTGTACAGCACCTTGACAAAATTAATTTTTTTAAAGAAGAAAATACAGGGAGAAATCTGGATTTCCCCTTATATAAATTATTGGATTTGGCAATGATTTATTGAATATAATTCCAAAGGCATATACAATGAACGAAAAAAGTAGATAAATTGGACTTTAGACACAATTAAAAACTCTGTGGCTCAAAGGAAATTATAAAGTGAAATGATAGCTCGGAGAATAGTAGAAACTGTTTGTAAATTTTATATCTGATAACTGATTAATATGAAGAAATATAGACACTTTATTACAGTCCCACAGTAGAAAACAACTCAATTTTTAAATGGGCCAAAGACCTATATTTCTTCAAAGAAGAGTACTAATAGCCAGCAAGCATGCAGAGATGCTCATCAATCTAATCATTAGGGCATTACAGATCAAATCCACAGTGTGTCGTTCCAATTTGTATGGCTACTATCAAAGAGTAAGAAAGTGGCTGGGTGAGTTGGACACCACTGCTCCCACCTGTAATCCTAGCTACTGGGGAGACCGAGAGCTGAGGATTGAGGTTCAAAGCCAGCCCAGGCTGGCTTTTAAATTTAGCATCCTGAAAAAGTTATGGAATGGATAGTAATGATAATTGTATAATATGGCAAATAGCTTGTTACCGTTGAATTATACTCTGAAATGATCAAAGTGATTTATGTTTGGTCCAAATAAAATGTTTTAGGAAATTGTGTTTCTCTTGAAAAATTAAAAGTTGTGGTATTGCTAGGATTTGCATTTCTGAAAATGAAGATAGTATTATATGAATTTCCTGGTCTTACATGAGTTTGTAATTCTTAGAACAAATACCTGTGTATGTTTTATTAGCTGGCTAGCAAAACTGAATTTATGGCTGAGCAGGAAAAAAGGATTTGCATTTAATTAAGTTTAATCTTCCTGACAAGTTCTGAGTAGTGATTTGATGAAATTGACTTATCAATGAAACCTTGCTTCATTTTAGTATTCCCTTTTATAGTATGAGATTCTATAGAAATTAAAGGTGTCTGAAATATTTTTAGAAGTCTTCACTTAAGCAGACATTTATAATTATTGATGAGGAATACCTTTCTGTTTAGTCATGTTTTTACTCAGCATCTATTTAATCCAGTTCTAGGGATTAAACTCAGTGCTGGCTTGCCTACTCAGGGTTGGTGCTCTGCTTTCTTGCTAGTCAATTGGAAATGGAATCCCAGAGACTTTTCTGCTTAGCCTGACTTTGATCCTTCAAATCTCAACCTCCTGAGTAACTAGGATACAGACATGAACCACCTTTACTTGGCTCAATGTGCATATTTTGGGTGTGTGAACCAGTTTTAGAGCTTGAACTTAGGGCCTGGGCATTGTTCCTGACTTTTCTTTCATATAGCTGACAGGTATGCAGATCTCAGCCTCCTGAGTAGCTAGGATTACCTATGTGAGTCACCTGTACCTGGGTTGCATTTTATAAAGCTATTTATTTTTTTCAGGTGCTGGGACTCGAACTCACAACCCCTGAGTTCATTCAGCTTTCTTGCTCATGTCTGGAACTCTGTCACTTTAGTCATGTCTGTAGCCCAACTTTTTGCTCATTAGTTGGAGATGGAGACTTGAGGACTTTTCTGCCTGGGATAGATTCCAGATCTCAGCCTCCTATGTAACTAGGATTATAAGCATGAGCTGCTGGTGCTCAGCTACTATTAGTATTATAGTTTCTGCTTAATCTTCCTTTTTCTAGATATGGGTAATTTACAGTAATAGTGGCTTTGGCATAGGCACTTATAAATTGCAACAATTAAAGCAGTTATTTTTAAATGTTTTAGTGGGGTAATTATCTTCCAACAAGCTATTTTAGATATTTAAGTTAATTAAATGTAAACATTTAAGTAATTTGGTCACACTTTAGGTGCATAGTGCAAGCTTCTTAAGATATGGGATATCTTGTGTTCATATTCTTTTATTTACAACTGTAGTGGCTTCAGGTGTCTTCAGTTTTCTCCTCTGAGAAATGTGGATAATACTGAGGATTTCATTAATTAGGATAAAGTACTTAAGATTAATAGCTAGCACATGTTATTTACCATTATACTTCCTCAACCCTAGGTTCAAAAAAATGTAACATAAAAGCTACCAATGTATAGGATGTTAAATTTTATGACAATGAAGTGTTAAACTTAGTCTGGTATATAAACAGCTTATAGGTTACTTACTTAAAAATATTTTTTTCCTTTAGCGAGTTGAAGAATTTCTCAGCAAAGATATCAGTTATCTTATTTCAAGTAAAAAGGAAGCAAAATATGCACAGACATTGGGTCGAATCTCTCCTGTACCAAGTCCAGAATCTGCATATACTGCAGAAACTACTTCACCTCATCCCAGCCATGATGGAAGTTCATTTAAATCTCCAGATACAGTAAGTGTTAAATAAGCTTTGAGGCATTCAGAAAGGCTGAATTCTGAGAATTTCATACTTTTCTTTTTCATGTCTTTCTGTGTAGCTCAGGCTGGCCTGGAACTTTTGGTCCTTCCATCTCCTTGTCCCAAATAGTAGGACTAGAGAAATATACCACTCATTTAGCTCATGGTTTCTAGTAGTAATCCTATAATAGTTCATTTGTCAAATAGGTTTCTGTCTTTTTCAAAGGTATTTTCCCTTAAATCGTACAGGGTAAATCCTGATTTCTAATGAATACTCTAGGTTGGCTTTTGTTTTTCAGAGTAATTCACAACTGAAAGTTAATAAACTCTTATTAAGAAGAAATGGAGGGCTAGGAATGTGGCTAAGTGTTTGCCTAGCATGTATGAAACCCTGGCTTTGATCCCTTAGTACCCCATAAACAGAAAAAGCTACAAGAGGCACTGTGGCTCAAGTGGTAGACTGCTAACCTTTAGCAAAAGAAGCTCAGGGAAGGTGCCTAGGGCCTGAGTTCAAGCCCCAGCCTGGCAAAAGAAAGAAAAAATGGGAAGCCGTTTCAAATTTCCAAGTAGAAATAAGTAAATTGGCCAAATATGGCTTGCTGCCTGTTTTCCTATAGCTGGTAAGACATCGTTCTTTTTTTTTTTTTTTTTGGTTGATAGGGGAAAATAAAATCAAAAGAACATTTTATGAGAAATCATTGAAATTCAGATTTTATTGTCCATCAGGTGTAATTAGAACATAACCATAATGACTTATAGTTGTTTTTGAACATCTGGCAGAATTCAATGATTGTGATGAGTCAAGGCCTACAAAGCCTCAAGTGGGATCGCTCTGGCAACAGGTTGCCCCCTTTTCTTACAGAATTACTGATGTCATATTTGTTCTACTCCATTGGCCAGACATTGATAGATAGATACAACATTTAATTAGGAGAAGAGATTACGAGATAAAATGTTTAACATAAAATTATGTAAAATAAATGTAAATATAATGTAAAAATAACGTAAATACATTATTTTGAAAACATCCCCCTTCAACTGATCTACTATAGCCATGTGAAAAGTAGGGAAAATGAGGATGAAACTAATAGGAAAAATGAGTTACAAAAGAATTCTCTTCAGAAAAGAGACAATATTGAAGAAAAACGAAGTCCCATGCATTCTTTCAGCTAAAGAGCATGTTGAAAATAAAAGTTTGCCCAGGGGCCAGTGACTCATGCCTGTAATCCTAGTTACTCAGGAGACTGAAATCTGAGGATCATGTTCAAAGCCAGCTTAGGCAGGAAAGTCCATGAGACTCTTCTCTCTACTAAACTACTCAGAAAAAGCCAGAAGTGGAGCTGTGGCTACAATGGTAAAGCTAGCCTTAAGCACAGAGGCTCAGGGATATCTCCCAGGCCCAGAGTTCAAGCCCTAGGAGCAGCAAAAAAGTCTAGTGGAGCCAGGTCCTGGTAGCTCACACCTATAATTCTAGCTCTTCAGGAGGCTAAGATTAGGGTTCATAGCTAGCCCAGGCAGGAAAGTCTGTTAGACTCTCACCTCTAATTAACCACCAGAAAACTGCAAGTGGAGCTATGGTTCAAAGTGGTATAGCACTAGCCTCTAGCAAAAAATCTCAGGGACAGCGCCCAAGCCCTGAGTTCAAGCCCCATGACTGACAATAAAAATTTTAAAAGTCCAGTGGAACTTAAGTATTTTATTTTTCGCATTGAGTAGAATTTGCTATTATACTGACCTAAGACTTATTTTGTCAAGATCCTAAAGAAATTCTGTATTTATATTATTTATGTTTCCAAAAAACCTTTACTGCAGTGACGCAATTACAACTCTTTTCAAACCTTGTAGTTAATTTTTTTGTATTATCTTTAAATAGTTGTACAAAGGAATTTTGATTAGACATATTAATTTATGTGTAAATGCATCTCGATCATTGTCACCACCTATTCTACCCCATCAGTATATTCCAACTTCAGCCATTATTTCAAACTTCCTGGTTCCATTTTCACGGAAATACATTGAGTATTATGACTGTATTCACCCACTATTTCTCTCTTTAAGTGTCTCTTCCTTGGTCTTTCTATAGGTTTATCTAAGCCGGGGAAAACTATTAGTCGAAAAAGCTATCAAGGATCATGTAAGTGGAACTTTAAAAGTTCACCCTGTATATTCTGTCATTAAAAATTCAGCTGCAAGTTATATATACCCTTGAAATACTCTTCCATTCATTTCTAACAGGAAAAACCTCATTTTACAAAAAATCCTTTTAATGAAGAAACATCCCCATCTTGTGGCCTTTTAATGTATTACTGAAAGCTTTTGAAATTTGCCTTATAGCACACACTAAATTCCCAAGAGTATGGAAATATTGTGTGTTATTTTAGAAATTCCAAAAGAAAAATACATAGTCTTACTGCTACTAAAACTTTATAGGAACTTTTATGAATAACCACTTTGGTGATATAAAGCTTTAAATATTATTTAAATGGCTCATTTTAAAGAGCAGTTTCCTAGACAAATTCTCAAATTTCTATTTTACAGGATTTTATTCCTTCGAATAGTATATTATCAAATGCCTTGTCGTGGGGTGTAAAAATTCTTCATATTGATGGTAAGGATCCTAAAATTGTCTTTTGACATTTTATAAGTGCCCATATCTATCCCTTGGTTCCTAGCTACATAATGGAAATCTTGGTAAAAGGGATTTGCCTGTAATAGTAAATCATTCACCTACTACAGTAGTTAGCCAGGTATTAAGATTAGCATCCTGACAGGCATAAGTAGAAAAATTGCAGTCCTTGTCAAAAATATAATACTGTATCCAAGAACTTAACAAAAAAGGGGAGGAGGAAGTATTGGCTCAAGTAGTAGAGTACTTGCCTAACTAGTGTGAAACTCCAGTTCAAACACTAGCACTACCAAAAAAGGTACGTGTGTATGTGTGTCCCCATTTTACTCCAACAATAAAATGCTGATCTTGAATTCTTTTTTTAATAAGACATTAGACACTACATTGAACAAAGGAAGAAAGAACTGTGTTTGCTCAAGAAACCAAGTACTTCTGTAAGAGATGTGGTATGTTGTCTTTTAAAAAATTGTATATTATACAGTTTGTTTGTGATAGTTCCTTATATACATATAAATGTAGTTTGATAAAAATTGTTGTCTTCAAAAAATATTCTAACTACTTTTAAAAAGCCATCAAGCCACATGCAGGTGGCTCACACCTATAATCCTAGCTACTCAGTTGGCTTGAGATCTGAGGATCACATTTTAAAGCCAGTTTGGGCTGGAAGGTCCATAAAACACTTACCTATAATTAACCAGCAGAAAGCCAGAGTTAGAGCTGTGGCTCAAGTGGTTGATGTCCTAGTCTTGATTAAAAAACACCAAGGCCCTGTGTACAAGCCCCAGGACTGGCACAAAAATAGAAAGTCATCAAGTTCAATATTTTGTTTATCTGTGTCTTAAATTTTTCCTGCAATGTAAAAAACATTGATAAAATTTTCTAACAGTCGGGGCTGGGAAGATGGCTCAGTGGTAGAGCGCTTGCCTTGCATGCCTGAGGCCCTGGGTTCGATTCCTCAGCACCACATAAGCAAAAAGACAAAAGCTGGAAGTGGCGCTGTGGCTCAAGTGGTAGAGCGCTAGCCTTGAGCTGAAGAGCTGAGGGACAGTGCCCAGGCCCAGAGTTCAGGCCCCACGACCGGACCCAAAAAAAAAAAATTTCTAACAGTATGTATATTATATGAATATTTCTGAATTGATGTGAATGATTGAACTTCAGGATTGTGATTGTGGCATACTTTTTTGGGTGTTCTCCCCACTCCCCTCCCACTCCTTGTCATTACCTCTGTTCTTAAATACTTTCATTTATTCTGTAGAAAAATGCTAAAATTAGCCGATAACCACATAAATTTCTAATATAGTGAGCCCATTTTTGGAAGATAAATAAGGAATATGCTTTTTGATTGCTCCAGATGATATAATAGATAAACAGATATTTGTTAAACTACCATATTGAGCATTACTCTGTTAGAATTCCATATCTTCAATCTTTTGCCTAGTTTTTTCATTGAAGCCTTTATAGATATTCAGCCCATTTCTGTTTTTTAAAAACAAATACAATAACACCTCTCTTGATACTTCCATACCCTATGCATTGCTCTAGCTTTATAATTCCTCTCTATACTGCCCAGATCTCCTCTCATACTTCCCAATCATTTTCAACCTACAAGTTATAAATTTCCTGTCAGATTTGCCAAATTACTTGGATATTTTGTAAACCAGACATACTCATTCTCCCAGAAATTGTCCGTTCCCTCCTTATACCTGTTCTTTTCTGGAATTTCTGTCATCTCTTTGCTTTTCTCTTGCTTCTCATGTTTTTTAGATCATTTTCCAGTGGTCTTCTTCATCCTACCCTTAAATAAATGGAATTGAAAGGAAGTTTCTTAGAGACTGACTGTATTATAAAGACATGAACTTACTGATGTCTGGTGGCTCATACTTGTAACGGACAAAGCTGGAAAAAGGAATCTTTAACTTTCTATATAAATTCACACATGTGCTCAGGTTAACTTTTAAGTTATACATAAGGATGGAGCTATAACAAACATAGTAAGGGCTTTGAAAATAGAATTAACCCCTTAGTTAAACCACTGCCCAAACATGACTAATTTAAATGTAATATCTGTGCAGGCTAAGCACAAAGCCTCATCATATATGTCTTTGAAAACTAAAACAGATTAAAACAAATGCCAGCACCAAGATACTCTTCATGTCAGAATTATTAAACAATACTTTAAAAGTGAATGTAAATAGACTGAAAAATGAACATAAATTGGCAATAGAAAAGAAACTCTTAAAAATGTAACAGAAATCATAGAAATGAAAAACTGAGATTCAGAATTTATTGGGTGGTCTTAATACTAAAATCTAAATGACAAAATGAAGCATCAGTAAACTAAAATGAACAGTCAAGTGGGGGGGAAAGGGCCGAGGAAAAACAAAATGATTTTATGTTTTTAGAGTTTATAGAAAAAGTGGCTCACACCTATAAATCCTATTTACTCTGGAGATTGAGATTTGAGAATCAAGCTTCAAAGTCAGCCTGAGCAGACAACTCCAAGAGATTCATATCTCCAATTAACCAGCAAAATGCTGGAAGTAGCGGTGTGGGTCAAACAGTGGAGCATTAGCCTACAGTGAAAATGGTGAGAATATGAGATCCTGAGTTGCATACTGCCATGCATGAGAGCATGCACGCACACACACACACACACACACACACACACACAATGACATGAAATTATGTGCTGTTTGGTAATATAGTACAACAGATAAGTTACTCTCAGTGTGATCATAGCACCCACCATTAGGAGGCAACTCAGGAAGAAAAAGTTAAAATTGCAGAGATTCTGTTAGTATTGTTTGTACCACTGAAGTTACTTCAATTATTGTTCTAGCTAGAATGATGAAGTTGGTATAGTTTTAGCTAGTCATTGTGCCACATCTATCAACTCTCCACAGTGTGCATACTCTATTAAATATTTAAATATTAAAATAGTTTCTTATTGAATGCTGTCCAAAGGTTTTATTTATGATCAGTGGGACTGATTGTTTTGCAGAATATTTATTTCATAGTGTACTGAACTGAGAGAGTAGTAGTAAGTTTTTGACCAATTCCTTTATTCATTTTCTTTAGTGGTTGATTTTTCTTGAGAAGGCTAAAACGGTTATATAGACTACAAAGTACTTGATGAATATTTTGTAACATGTAGTTTGCAATATTCTACCAGGTTAGTATCTTTAATTCTTTTTTTTTAATTAATATATTTAAGTGGTTCAATTCTTGAATAATCTTGTTTTAATTTTTTTTTGGTTGAGTTTTGGTTGCGTTCATTTCCCCCCCATTTGATATAATAATTTTCCATTATTTTTTGTCATATAAACATAGAATAGTTGCAGTAGCTTTTTTCATTATATTGTCACACCTAGTCTTTTTTTTTTTTTTGTCTGTTGTGGGGCTTGAACTCTGGACCTGGGCACTGTCCCTGAGGTCTACAACTTGAGCCACAGTACCACTTCCCCTTTTCTGAGTGGTTTATTGGAGATAAGAGTCTCATGGAGTTTCCTGCCCAGACTGGCTTTGAACCCAGATCCTCAGATCTCAGCCTCCTGCATAGCTAGGATTACAGGCGTGAGCCACCAATGCCCAGCCACACCAGTTTTTTTAATTATTTTGATGAGAAGGATGCAATCTTTTTATTTTTTGCCATTTAACAAAGCAGTTTATGAATATAATTCATCTTGATTCAGTGTCACTCCATTTCAGTCCACCCATTCCCTTTCCTTAATTTCATAGTATATACAACAAATTCTTGATTACTTCTCCCCTACTATCCCCCTTCATTTGTGTACCCCTCTGCCCTTGGTCCCACTCCTTCTCTTGCATGTACATATTTCCTGGTGCTGATTTTGTCGTGCTTTGACCTAGTCTATTTATCTCTATTTTTATAGGGGAAAAGAGTTGTTGTTGGAACACAAAAAACAAGAAGTAAGTATTTTGATATGTCTAATTATATTTGAGTTGCTTCTAAACACAAAACATGATCTTCTAAGATCATATAAATGGCCATTTAATGATATAGGGTTTTATGGTCATTTTTTAAATATAGGAAAAATTCATTGGCTTATCAGAAAAATCATTTATATTAAAATGTATCTAATAGTTTTTAGTAGTGATATACTTGCTTTTTTGTTATAAATTATAAGATGTTATTACAAAATTTTTTATTAAAAAATTTAGCATAAGATTTTATTGGATTATCACTAAAATTAGTTATATTAAAATATATGAACTAGTTTTTAATCGTGATATACCTGCCTTTTTTATTTGTTTGTTTGTTTTGGGGATTGAACTGGGGGGCTTGGGTACTGTCCCTGAACTCTTCAGATCCAGGCTAGCACTCTGCCACTTGAACTGTTTTCTGGTGGTTAATTGGAGATAAGAGTCTCACAGACATTCCTACCCGGGTTCTCTTTGAACCAGGGTCCTCAGATCTCAGTCTCCTGTGTAGGTATTACAGGCATGAGCCACCAGCGGTGCTTTTTATACATTATAAACATCTAACGAACTGCCAGCGGGTACCTAGCTAATACTCAATCCTAGCTAATTAGGAGGCTGAGACCTGAAAAATCACTGTTCAAAGCCATCCTGGGAAGAAAAGTGCTCTAGTCTCCATCTTCAATGTAATCAGCAGAAAGCTGGGCTGGAAGTGTGACTCGAATTATGGAGTTATGGGAGTACAAGCTGAGCAAGTTTGAGGCTGAGGTCAAATCCCAGTGCCATCAGAACACACACACAACACAGTCTACCAGTAATATCTTAAATTTCTACAGTAATTTTAAACTGATTTGTGAAACTTTTTAGAAACCTTTAATAAACCAATATGTGAAAATATCTGCTGTTTCTGTTATCAAAGTTACAGTTGCTAATATTAGGTATGTTTTATTGTTTATATTTATAATTGCAAAAATGTTAAATTATGTTATACATTAGTAAAAATATTTTTTCTATTACAATTCAAATTTTTCTATTATAATTCTTCTAAATTCTGTTCATAGACTCTGTTACCTCCATTCAGTTTAAGAATCTCAGAATATGACAACTGCAATTGTGTCTGGAAATGGGATGATATTGGAAAATAGTTCCAACTAAAGTTTTATTTACAAGAAGTTGTTGATTTATGGGTATCTAACATTGTGTTTTCTATATCTTCAAGGAGGAAGACTCAAGAAGCCTTTTATAAAGGTAGAAGATATGGATCAGTAAGTGTCCAATCTCTGACTTCAGTACAGTATTAAGGAAAAATCTATTTCCATTAATATGATTAAGTTCCTTTATATTGGTCAAATATGCATGTACCATTACTTCAAGACTAAATTTAATTTCATCATATAGTAGATATGTGTTTGAACTATTTGATTAAGAGTACTTATGAAACCAACTCATATTTTAGTATTTCAAATAGTCATTTTCTAGTTAAATGTAGGTTCCATTATAAGTAAGAACCACTCATAAAAAGCTGGGCAATGGTGGCTTATGCCTGTGATCATAGCTACTTAGGAGGCTTAGGTCTGGAGTATTGAGGTTTGAAGTCACTCCAGGGCAGACAAGTTCTTCAGATCCCCATCTTCAGTTAACCCAAAGGCTTGGCTCAAATGATAGAACATCAACTTCCAGCAAGAAAGGTGAGCAAGCTTGAGGCCTCTGTATTTGAGCCACTATACCAGCAAAAATAAACAGCAACAACAACAACAAAAAAAAACTCTACATATGCTGCTTAAAAGTTTGCTACTGAATTACTAAGTATTAAACTGAAGATTTCTTATTCTTAAGATACTGATCTATACTTCCCAAATTAATCTTCAGATCCAATGTAATCTATATAATGGTTCCAATGACTGTTTTGTGTTGTAGATGTAAAAAAACTCTACCCTAAAATTGGAATCTTAAGAATCCTCACATACCCAGAATAATTCTTTAAAAGAACAAATCTAGATTTCTCATATTTCTTGATTTCAAAACTCTACAAAGCTACAATAATCAGGACATTTGATACTGGCAGTTAGGCAGACAAATAGGTTAGCAGAGTAGAATACAATAGAAGATAGTACAGTATAATACCAGAAACACACCATCACATGGTCAGTTGATTTTAATAGGGATAGGGAAAAATCATTCAGTGGGAAAAGGGCAGTTATTTGAACGAAGATTAAGGGAACATAACCTACATGCAAAGAATAAAATTGGACCTTATGCCATACATAAATTAACTTAAAAATGTATCGAAGATATAAACCTATAAAAATCTTAGAAGAAAACATGAGAAATACTTAATGATACTGGATTTGGCAATGGTTTCTTAGATAGAATACAGTATAAAGATAATTAGCAAATGGAAGAAGTATTTGTATAGATGGTTTATCTAGTAAGCGATTGATATCCACAATATAGTTTTTAAACTCCTACAACACAAAAGGTATCATTAGAGAAATATAAAATAATGACAGTTACCATTTCCTATGCTTTGATAGCTGCTATCCAAGATGCATAAACATATATTAGCATATACATATTTAAGTGTGTATGTACATACTAAAATGTAAAACCAATCTAAGTTCATTAGTAAATATGAGTAGACAAAATGTAGCTTAAGCGTATGTATGTACACAATGGAATAGTAAATCTTAAAAAAATGAAATGAGACTTAGGAAATTAAGTGAAATGAGAGTGGAAATTTATCCTACCAAATGAAATATGTGTAACAAATTCATAAGACCAAACATGATTGTGGTTGTCAAAAGTTGAGGGAAAAGAGGAATAGGAAGTAACTTAATGGTAACAGAGCTTCAATTATAATTGTAGAGATGATTCAAAGTGTTGTGACATCAATATTTAATATGACAAAACTGTACAGTTTTAAGTGGTTATGTTGTATATTTTGCTGTAATTTGAAAGTTTCATTGATTATTATGCCTACAAATTGGTTCTTTGTAGGGAGGTTGACCTCTATTCAGTTTCTATTTCAGATGAATTGTATGATTTTGAAAACTTATTTCATAGTAAAGAAGCTCATGTATTTTTCCGTTTTTTTTCCTTTTAGACTATATAGGCCATTTTATCTTCAATTTACCAATATGCCTTTTATAAACTATTCTACTCAGAAGCCCTGCAGTCCATTTGATGTAGATAAGGCATCTAGCATTCAAAAGCAAACTCAAGTTAAACTAAGGTTAGTTTGAATCATTTTTAAAAGAAATATTTAAAATACTTTATGCCGTGGTGTAGTGGTTAATATATGTGTTTATAGTCAATATTTTGCTTACTTTCACATATACATTGTTAATGTCTGTATCTGTTATAAAACATTCCATGTTTTACAACTTTAGGTAACTTGGGTGGGTACGTAAAAAGTATTTGCAAATAATGAAAATGTCTTATTTCTCTTAAACAATGTAATAGTCTGCAGAAGTCTACAAATTATAGTAAATTTTATACATAGTAACTTAAGACAGTTTCAAAAATTATTCCTATGGTTAGCAGTAATTTTTTTACCATGTACCTCTATCACCAGAATCCAAATGGATGGCCACAAATATGGTGGATCCTCAGTTCAACTCCAGTTGAAAGAGAAGAAAAAAAAAGGATATTGTGAATGTTGCTTACAGAAATATGAAGATCTTGAAACTGTAAATTTGTTTTCTTTGTATATTGATGTTTTTTAAACATTGAATTGTATCTGTTAGTTACATTTTACATTACTGCTTCTGATTCTGATTTCAGTTTTAAGCTGGACAAGTACAAATAATTTGTGTGTGTGTGTGTGTGTGTGTGTGTGTGTGTGTGTGTGTTGGTAGAGAGCAAAGTTAGGGACTTACGCTAGGCAAGCTCTCTGTCACTGAACTACATGCACGTGCTAAAACATCCTACATTTTAAGACTTTTAGGAGGGAATTAATATTGAAAAGTAAGCATTGATCACTGCTGGGTATTAACATTGAACAAAAGATTCAAATTTCCTACCTCTGTGAAGATTACCTTGTGCAGAGTTAGGAAATATAATCTGTCACCATAAGATGAAGATTTATTACTGTTATGACAAAACATAAAACAGGAATGAAGTTTTTGCCATTTATTTAGACTTTACAGGAGTACCTAACTGATGAGCTGACATTTAAGTGGAGACCAGAAAAAAGTGAATTAATAAAAATTATAGATATTGAAATAAGTAAAAGGGGAGATCCTGAACTGATTGATGTAATCAAAGAACATCTGATAGTGGCCTGAACTTGACAGCAGCAGAAGTACTTAAGATATGTTCAAACGATATATTTTAAAGTTGGTACTAAAAATTGCTAATAGATTTGCTGAGTGTGAAAGATGATGAAGGAAAGGTGACTATATTTTGGACCTGAGCAATTAAATAATTTCTCATCATATACTGATGGTAAAAAAAATTGAAAATTGAGGACTCTTGAGGTAGCAGAAACAGAAATGTAAAAATTAGAAGAGCCCCTAGCTACGCAGGAAGCTGATATCTGAGGATTGGGGTTCAAAGCCAACCTCCAGCATGAAAGTCCATGAGACTATTATATCCAATTAACCACCCGAAAACCAGAAGTAGCACTGTGACTCAAGAGGTAGAGCACTTGCCTTGAGTTGAAGAGCTCAGGGACAGTGTCCAGGCCCAGAGTTCAAGCCCCATGGCCAACAAAAACAACAACTACAAAAAAAAACAATTAGAAGGACATATAAGATAAAGATAAGAGATAAGAGTTTTAAAGATTGGAAAGATGATTGAAAAGTCTTAAAGATAGTTTGCAAGCTGATGAAAAGGCAGAAATTTTAGATTCACACTGCCCACTTTCAAATACTGGCTTCCTGACCTGTAACCTTGGACAGAGCCTAGCATGTCTTGTTTATTAATCTTAGCTTATTGTTAAATGTTTGTTATGCTTATGAGTCTTTTATATGTACTTGAGGTCCATTTGTTTATTTTAACTTGCCTTGTAGGATTTTATAACTCATGGGTTTTTAATCTGTTATTTTATAGTATTTTGCATAATAGTCTATATAAGCTCTACTACTGTTAAGTCTCAATTATAATAGGGGGAAAGGTGTTTTCCAGAACAACTAGGGTACACTAAATGTTAAATGTTAAAATAACTTCACTGGTTTCTCATAAGTCACCTTTATTTTACTTATTATTTTGAAGCCTAGTAAAGGGTTTTCTTTTGTCTTCTTTCAGGGAAGAAGTTGAGTAGTCATTGGAAACAAGCTTTAGAGACATGAAACCATTCAAAATCTGGACAAAAGCATCTGTTTAAAAATTATAATTTTATGTTTTTTTGTTTTAGCATCTTCAGAGTGAACAACACAGAAGCTTTTCACAGAGTAACCAATATGAAATTGTTGACGATATTGTATCTAAGTTAAATTTTGATTTTGTGGAATATGAAAGAGACATACCTAAAAAGAAAAGGTAATTAATTTATCAACCACACTTTTAAATTCTACTGGATTATTGAATTAGTTCATTACACTAAAAATAATGCTTTCCTACTTCTTAGATGGCAGATGTGCTTTCAAGACACAGTATGGTTAAATAATTTACCTTCTTCTCTTCTCTTTACCTATTCTGTCAAAACATTTGCCCTTGATTGATTTTAGTCTCTGTTGATACTGTGGTTTAGAAATGAAAGTGTCTGCTAAGAGCCAGATAGTTATTTTTTTTTTTGACTAAAAGAGCCTGTTACAACAGCTCAGCTTTACTATTATAAAATGAATATGGCTTTTGCCACAAAGCTGAATTCAGAAAAATTGACTAGACTTCCTACATGCTGCCTAGTTTGCCAGTCCTTGTTATAGAACCATAAAATTATCAGATTAAAGGTGTACAAACTAAAAAGGGCTTTAACTTTTAGTTATGAGAAGTGTTTTATTTTGTCAATACTGGGATTAGAATTCAGGATTTTGTACTAGCTACACAGACTTTGTCCTAATTGAACCATACCTATGCCTATTTGCTCTGGTTATTTTTAAGATAGGGTCATAGGTAGAGTAACAGAGTAATAGATGGATACCACCACTTCCATGTTTTTCTGTTTAAATGAAGTCTTGTGAGCATTTTTGCCTAGACTAACATAGGGCTTGTATGGAACTTGATTCTCACTGTCTTAGCCTCCCAACATAGCTGGAAGTAAGTATGTGCCACTTTACCCAGCTGTTGGTTGAGGTGTAGTCCTGAGAACATTTTGCTCAGGCTGGTCTACAATCATGAGTCACTGATATCCAGCAATCCTAAGAAATTTTTTAAAATTTTTTTCTAGTGCTTCTATTAAGTCTTGTTTATATTTTTACTAAATATTTCTCTTAAATTCTACATGTTGATAATATTTACTAACTACTAACTTTCAAGTGTGAATGCAGTGTACAGTGTTCAGTGTACAGTAACTATGTTTTTGACAAAATGAGTCCTGCTTTGATTATTCCAATACACATAAAATTTTAATGTTTTTATAAGAAAGTTCCCTAGAGTTAATAACTCAGTAGACTATTTGGTCCTCATATCTATTTTTAGGCTAATCTAAATGATTTAATTACAACTTATCATAGCTCTTAATGTTTGTTAAGACACTATAATACAACTTCTAATGATGAATTAGAAAAACGTTTGGACTTAGAAACAGTTCAATTTCTGTAACATTCAGAGTGATTGTTCATGATGATAACATTTGAAGAGGAAGCATATTTCTGAGTAGTAAATCTACATAGGACTTCTGTTAAGAACTTAAAATTATCTGAAAATTGAAGTAAATTCTGAACTAGTAATCTGTGAGTTTGTTTTTCCTTTATTATTTTTTTCTGCACCAGTCTCACCTGTGCCAGTTTGCTCAACATCTATGGGCCTAATAAGAGATAACCTAAATGGATTAGTGTTTTAGATTTTTATCATCCATTTATTCGAAGGAAATCTTAAAAGTATAAATAAAATATAAAGGGAATAATATATAATATAAATAATATATAAAGGGAACAATTGTGGAAGAAGAGTCAAGTGAAATAGTATATAATTGTCAATGTTATCTATGATAGGTATATTGTAAAATATAATTGGTGCACTGTTAACTTTTCTTAAATTGGATCATAATTTAGGATTGTCTAGTACAAACTTATCAATCTTAAGAATATCAAGATGTTCCATGAAGAATAATGTTTTAGGCCAGATACCTATGGGATATTTTTAAACTAATCTACCATATTTAGAAGTATGAAGGTACTTAATTTTTAGCACACTTTGATACTGGTTTTTCCTTAAAAATAAATACGTTTCTTGGGACTGGGAAGGTGGCTCAGTATTAGAGTGCTTGCCTTGCATGCATGAGGCCCTGGGTTCGATTCCTCAGCTTAACATAAGCAGAAAAAGCCGGAAGTGGTGCTGTGGCTCAAGTGGTAGAGCGCTAGCCTTGAGCTGAAGAGCTGAGGGATACCACCCAGGCCCAGAGTTCAGGCCCCACAACCAACAAAAATAAATAATATGTTTCTACAGCTGGTTTAATCCAAAATACTCATTGTCCACATTACCAAGAAAAATGAGGTAAATATGCATAATCTAAATTAGACCATTGAAGTTACAAACATTTTCAGGATGTTAAACACAAAATTAGGGTCAAACCCAGTTCTCTTAATATGCTTTTACCTTGGTTTACATAGACTAATTTTAAATACCAAGTTAGCCATATTGGCTAACTTAGAGGGAGGAAAAGAATGTAGATGAGAAGACGGTACAGTAGGGTTTTCAACTATGTTTAAATTTTGTTACTTTAAAAATATCCAAATTTGTCAATATATTAAGATTCTTGTAATAGTATTTTAAGTGAGTTTTTTTAATATTTCAAGATATTAATGTAAACTCAGGAATTCATTTTAATATTTTTCTTTTGTTTTTATAAAGAATAAAATACAGCTTTAGATCCCTTTCTTCTGTTTCTACAAATTTCCTGAAAAAGACTGAGCCAAAAGAAAAATGTGAATTGCAGTATATTTGCCAGAAAGATGCCAGTGAAAATAATGGAAAGGTGATGAAGCAGAATATTCTGTATGCAGAAACCCAGGAACCTGAACAAAAGCTTGTGTTTATTTCTGAATCTGTCCCCTGCCTTTCAAATGAATTGAGAGGATTTAGAGAGAAAAGAATTAATGAATGTTCTGTGTTAAATGCAACTGAAAATAACATAAAACAGAACTTTACACACCTACCTCCATATAAAAATAAACAGGAGATCATTTTTAACACATCTGAACATAAATTAATTGTACATGAGAATGACTTAGAAGATCATTGTCCGAGTAGGCTACATCCATATGTACAAGTTTCTCATCCCAGTACAGATAATAGTATGCTTCAACCAAAAGGAAAGTCAAATACGCACCTTTTTCCATCAAAAGATCTGAAAGAAAAGGACCTTCATATAACAAACGGGCATGGTTATGATCTTTCAACAATGAACATTTCACAAGAGCACCTAAGGATAAAGACAAAGTCTCTATGCTGTAGTCCTCTTGGGGAACCCAGTGAATGTGGCAGCAACAGAACTGATGATTTGCCCTCTGGTAGAATCCATCAGAAAGTGAGAATATTATTAGGACGAAATAAAAAAGAAAATCTGGAACCAAATGCCGAATTAGATGAGAAAACTGAATTTCTTATTGCACAAGAAGCAAAAAGAATTTGTACTTCACCAGTACAGTCTTTGTTGGACTTATTTCAGACTAGTGGAGAGAAATCAGAGTTTTGTGGGTTTACAAGTTACACTGAAAACAGTGGTATATGTGAAATGTTAAATATTTGGGAAAAGGAAAGTTCAGATACTTTGCTATCAACATTTTTCTCTTCCCCTTCAACTTCATTTATTGGCTTTTGATGTTTAAAAATATATACTAAAGTTTTTAGGATTTTTGGCTTACTTTGTTTACAGAACTATTTAAATATAATAAATGAATATTTCAGTTTTTTACAGAATTAGATACCTGTTGTGGAGTATACTTGTGATTCATTTTCCATTCTGTGGTTGTAAGTGTTTTCTGAGAATTATAAAGGTACCACTTTATCACTGAAAACTAATTTCAAGAAATATGTGGGTATGAAAAAAATTAAGCATCATAAATTTAGTTATGTCCATTGTTTACTGAAATAGATTTTTATGATAACATGATCTCTTGAAATACATGTAATTTCATACAGAAAGACAAAGTGTATTATTTTCTATATTTGAATATCCAAAGTTTTTATAAACATTGAACTTGAGAGTGATCCAGTTAATTGGTCTGTGAAAGTATTTTGGCCTTGAAGAGTTAGGTTATTTGGCCAGAGTAAAAAAACTAGAAGAAAGAACTTAACCAAATTACCATAAGAATAACTTTTTCCATCTTTTTTTGTTATTCATAATTAAATAATTTTGAGAGTAATTTCTTCAAAAATGACACCTTGTAATTGGTATTATTTGATGAAGGATAACGTTGATGTAGATTAGGTACTTCGTGGTAAAATTGTGAGGAAGAAATTAATTTGTAAGACAAATTTCCACTTTTAAGAAAATAATACATTATTGACTATGTTTTTATATTAGTAGAGCATTTGTAACTAATGACTTTTTTCTTGGGTAAACAAATGCTATTGAATAGCATGAGTACATTGTTATACAAAAAAACTATGTCAACTTTATTTATTTGAAAAGAAATTGCTTCCCAAATGTTGATTGTTTGGACTAAAATATTGGCTTTTCAACAGCTCTGTTACTTGTACTAGTATCTTACCTAGGACCAGTCATTCTAGGCACACATGCAACCTTGTTTGCTCTGTTAAGTTACTGTAGCATTGTCACTAGTGTGAATATGTTGTATGGATCTATGTCAGGTTTTGTAGACAGCCTTTTAAAAAATCTAAAAACTTTGTAAGAGTATTTGTAGATGTTTTTTCTTCCCTTGAATTTCTTATATTCCCCCAAATTTTCTAAATAATTAAAAGGCATTTATATTTGCTGTATGGTCCTTAGACATTAGACTAACAACTTCGATTTGCAGTGATACTGTTTACCCTCAGCCCCCAAATTGTTTTGCCTTAGTTGCATTTAATGCGAAAATGTCAAGCTAAACTTAACCTCCATTACTTAATTTTTAAAATTTATTTTGTTGTAAAGTTGATATAGAGTGGTTGCAGTTAGTACATTTCTTGACAATGTTACCCCCCACTCCTTTTCTCCCCCTTAACACAGCTTTTTATACAAGACTTTTTAAGAGATCCCTAAAAGTTTTATAATGAGTATTCACCTTAAAAAAAAAAAAGCTTAAATTTCAGATTGCTGGAAACAGTACAGTGCTGTTGTAGGAGACCACTTAAAGTTTATTTGGGTTGGATTCTGTAGATGATGCACCCAGTTGCTTGCAGGTAGTATATACCCTGGCAATAAGATGTTTACTCCTAAAGACAAGATGTATGTGTGTGTCTGTGCTGATGTTAGGGCTGTTGAACTCAGGACCTGGCCACTACCTGAGCTTTTGTACTTAAGGGTAGCAGCACCTTCACTTCTGTTCTTTGGTCAGTAATTGTAGAAAGCAATCTCTTGGACTCTCCTGCCCAGGCTGACTTAATCTTGATCCTCAGAATGCGTGAACCTGTTCCAAGTGAGGTAGAAAGTTTTAGGTTCAACCAATGTGTTTTGGGTTTTTTTTTTTTTTTTTGCCGGTTGTGGGGGTCTGAACTCTGGGCTTGGTGCTTTTCCTTGGCTCTTCAGCTCAAGGCTAGCACTCTACCACTTGAGCCATAGTGCCACTTCCGGCTTTTTCTGCTTATGTGGTGCTGAGGAATCGAACCCAGGGCCTCAGGCATGCAAGGCAAGCGCTCTACCACTGAGCCACCTTCCCAGCCCTGGGGTTTTTAACAGAGTGATTTTCTCTTATTTTTTTTATTTTAATTTCTGATAGTACTTAAATCTCACTTTTTTCCCAGATTTCCTCACAACCTTTATTGTAAGCAAGGTACTATCAAAGTTGGAATCTTCAAAGATCTTTCAGCAGGTTAGATAGGCAATTCAGTTTCTTTCAGAAAATGTAAGGGCCATTAATCCCTAGTAGGAGAATAGTGAATTCAGGGCTTCAAGGGCTAGCCTGTCTTCCCCCCGAAAGAGCAAAACAATGTGATAAGTTTTCTGAAAGTGTCCATGTAAATTCCTAGTAGGTACATGATAAATGCAACTGATAACAGGAGCATGGAAGCTGAAGAACATTAGAAAAAGTAAAAAGACTAACTTGGGAGTTAAGCAGCAAGTAGTATGGCATTAGAAATTGTTTTACAAGTAGCAGCAGTGAAAAAAGGTGAAGGATTTGTTATTACCCGTATGTATGTGTGTATATATATTTACACATGCATGTATATACCATATACGCATGTGTATATACCATACATGCATGTATATACATATAGACATGCACACACAAACATTGCATTTGTATACACATTCATGTGTACATGCATATAAATTTAAACATTTTAAGAAATACATGCAATGTTATTTAAATGTTCTATTTTTACTCGAGACCTTTGTGATCTCAATAAAACTAAGCTGTTAGTCTTTTTTTTCTTTTTTTTTTTCCAGTAATGGGGCCTGGACACTGACCTTCAGCTCTTTAGCTCAAGGCTAGTGCTCTACCACTTGAGCCACAGCACCACATCCAGCTTTTTCTACTTCTGTGATGCTGATGAATCAAACTCAGGGCCTCATGCATGCAAGGCAAGCACTACCACTGAGACACGTTCCCAGCCCCTAGGCTACTATTCTTTACAAAGAGTTAAATAAGGGAACTAGATGTCAGCTCAAAGTTCCAAGTGTGCTAGCAACTTGTAGTTCATCTGATCCCAAAATTATTTTTTTAACTTGGAGAAATAATTTATTAATCTTGTTGGGTAAATTAGGTAATTTCCCTCCACGGTTTCATACTCTTGGCTCAAGTGGTAGAGGATTAGCCATGAACAAGCTAGCTGAACGAATGTAAGGCAATGTGTTCAGTTCAAACAATATAGAATGCTTCATGGATTTGTCAGGGGCATGCTGATGTCCATATTGTTCCAATTTTAGTATATGTGCTGTTTAAGCAAGCACAAGCCAGAATTATAAAATGGATTAATAATGCATATAGAAGACTCAAAAGTAACTAAAGGCAAGCAAGTTTAAATAGTACTGAAGTCAAATCAAATGCTGAGAATGAAAACCATTTGTGATTTTTTTTTCACTGATAGGGATGGAACATTCTGTATCTGTCCATGTATCTGTCCATGTATCTGTTGCATATGATCATTTGCAAAAGCAATTACATGGCACTGCAGCTACAGTTGAGATATCTACTTAATGCTATTTGTAGTGGACTACTGCATATATTAGCATGAATGGTGAGAACCATCTGGTTTAGATATTTAATGGTGGCACTAATTTTCATCACTACCATTTCTGACGAGTGCTTTTAGTTTATTAAATTTGCTGAAGAGTAGAGAAAGTTCAAAGGTTACCACTTGATCTTTTTCGCTATGATGTTTCTTTCCCTATAAACCCCAGGATACAATATGAGGGACTGTATAAAGAACTAAGCATTTCTCTTCCAATAATACATTTGAGAGCGAATAAAATCAGACACAGGGAGGTAAACTAACCACTATTATATGTACCAATCAGTAGTTGCTTCGAATACCAGGGATCATTGGTAATTCAGACCCTATCTGACAAATATTTGACCACTCATCTTTCTCCAAGTAAATGGAGATAAGTTTGGGGAATAATTAGGGAATATACTTGAAATAAGTTGCAGGATCATTATTATTGGATCAACTGCTTTAGTTTCCCAAGGTGACTTTTTTTCCTTTCAACTTGTATTAATAGCACATATTATGTGAATGAGTTTCGTTAGTTATTTTATCCATTTTGCTTCTACAGGTGGCATGTTGTATTGACCAACTCCATAACTTTTTGAAGATCAGATTTCTGGTTGCCTCTTCAATACTGCTCTCAGGATTATTATGTCCACCCTGATCTATGACTGTTGAATGGCCCAGACTGGCTTAAGGATTTTTGTCAATCCCTTTGCTATTTTCAAGTCAATTTCTAGTTATATCTACCACTTGTCCTAGCGTACAGGAAGCCATCACTGCATATTTTAATGTTGGTGCCCTTCATTTTAAATCATTCTTTCTAGTATTTGGTAAGCAGTGTATTATCAACTACTTCCTATGGAATAAAGTAGCATGATGTAATTTCTGGTCTAAATATAGGTATATTCATTCCCATATGTCTACTTTTTTCCCCTTGCCATGTACCATGGAAATTATGGCAATCTCATTTTACTTAGCACGAGCCATCAATTCTTATATACCTCTAAAATCCTATCAGAAAGTTTACACCTCCTCATCAGGATGTCAAATCCTGCATATCAGTAGATTCCTCCCAAATCAGTAATTATCTTCACACTATCTTGTGGAAAATCCCCTTAATCAGGCATCCTTGAAATCTAGTATCACATTCATCAAAACACTTATTATTCTGAACAATGAAAAGAAGCTCTAATTTTCTAAAGAGTAGCAATCATACAAAATACATTCTCAGGCAACAGTGAAACCATTAAGAGACTCTTGGAAACTTCCCAGCAATTTATAAATAAAAAAATATATATTCTTAACTGAAAATAGTTCATAGGTCTAAGACAAATAGCTTTCAGAAAAATGAAAAATCTGCAACAAAAACAAAACTAGTTAAAATTTAGATTTTGCTAAAATATATAGTATTAAATGCTTACATTAGAAAAGGAGAAAGAGTTAAATCTGACATTTCTCCATGAAAATGTTCCTGACCCATTTGAGGAAAGAATTTCTAGGGATCATATTTAGTTCTGTAAAAAACTGCCCAAGTGTCCTCCTAAGGAGCTATATTATTTTACATCCCTACTGGCTCTAAGTTTTGATTCCTCTTGCTTTATGTAATTGAACACCAGAATCTGATGTAGGTATATTGAATTTTAACAATTCAAATAGTTGTGGGATGACACCTTATCATTGCTTTAATTTGCATTCCCTAATGTCATAACATTCTGAATGTCTTTTCATATGCTTATTTGCCATCTGTATATCTCTTTGATGAGGTGCCTTCTAATTTCTTTTCTTTTTGACATTAGATGAGCCTTCCTGGCCTCAAACTTTCCTCCTGCCTCAGTCTTCCAAACTTTGGGATTATAGACTTCTGTCACCACATACAGCTGTCTTCTGCCCATTTTTAGATTGATTGGTTTTCTGATGGTTGAGTTTTAAGAGTTTTTTGTTTGTTTGTTTGTTTGATTTAGATACTAGTCTTTGGTGTGTGTGGGGTGGGGTAGAAGAAAGAGGTTCCTGGGGCTTGAACTCTGGACCTGGTTACTGTCCCTGAGCTTTTGTACTCAAAGCTATCACTCTACCACTTGAGACACAGCTCCATTTCCACTTTTTGTGGTTAATTGGAGGTAAAAGTCGCATAGATTTTTCTGCCCTGGCTGGCTTTAAACCTCTATGCTCAGATCTCAGCCTATTGAGTATCTAGGATTACCGGTATGTAGGATTGCACATGTGACCCACAGCACCCCCCACTAGACACTAGTCTTTTAACAGCAATTTGTAAATGGTGGGGTTTTTTGTTTTTGTTTTTTCAGTCTTTGGTCTTTTTTTTTTTTTGTCATTGTCTCCCAGAATAAAATTTGTGACCATAATGTCAGAGCAAGTTGGAGGACTTTTCTAGACCATTGGGTTCAAATTTTCTTTTGCTGTATTTATGGGCTAAGCTACATTTATGTCTAATCTATGCTGTTAAAATGTTTTTTTTTTCAAATTACAATTACATGTCATACAGGATTTTCAAGTGTCTCATTGACTTGAAGATTTTAAGAAACCTTTTGAAATGACAACCAGCTCCATGAGATGTAGTTACCAACATAAGACATAATGTCTTCTTTTCCAAGAATTTAGGACAAGGGGAAAAAAGACTCCCTTGCACTATTTGTGAAACCATGTCTAAGTAGTAATTAATTCTAGATTACACACTTCAGCTGGAACAAATATATTTTCAGCTCACAATAGAAAAGAAACTTCAATTCATGTTATGAGTCAAGGATTCAAAACAAAACAACAAACCAACCCCTATATCCTTTAGAAAGGAAGAAATATCCCCAAAGACCATCAGATGGAAAATTCTGTATGTTCAAAAGGACAGTAACCAGGATCAAGGTGAAGGTTACACAAAAATAGATCCCTATCTACTATATGACTAGCCCTAGCCTGTGACCTTCATGCAACTTCTTAAAACTCTGAAGCCAGAATTAAACCCAATAGAACTTTCTGCAAGGATGGAAACTTGACATATGTACTGTCCAATATAGTAGCCACACACTACAGGTTGAACACCTTGAATGTGGGTGGAACTAAAACTAAATTCAAAATGTTATCTCAGTTTAAATGGATCCATATAGCTAATGGCTACAGTGTTTCAAAGGTATTCTAGAAATCCTAATCCTAGGTTTTTCTCTTCTCTGATCAAATTTGTTTTTATGGAACAAATGCCTATACATGTAAACTTTGAAAAATAGAAAGTGTTAAACAGTACGTTAAAAGTATTTTATCCTGGATTTGGAGTAAACAGCTAGGGAAATAAACTGTTTCTTATGTCTGGTTTTCAAATGCAGATTTGAGATAGGCAGATAGTTGAGAAAGAACAGGTACTGGAAAATTGGCCTAAATCATAATTCAAAGGTGCCTGCTAGACCTTTTCCAGGAAGAGATTTTCCCTGACTTTTGGGGACTGGGTTAAAGGATCGCCTCAATGTAACTAATTATGACATTTGCCACATTGTATTGTTTTAAAAAAAATTGGCCTTCCTAGTCAACTACCTCAGAGAGCAGGTGACTTTCAGTGAAGGATTACAGATGTCAGTCACTAGGTAATTCATATGGTTTCTCCATCCATACTTAGTGACTCATTTACCATAGTGTCAAGGTAGTGGTCCTTTCCCTCATCGCTTCAGTAACTACTAACTTGTGATACCATTAAAGTTTGTTGTTGTTTTTGTTTGTGCCCCCCCCTTTTGCAAAACAATGTGGATGAATTCCTTGTCTCTAAGGTACAGTCAGTAATCTCTGCACCAATCGGCTCTCCCTTGGGCTCTCCCTCCTTCCTTCCCTCTGGTCTGCAGGATGCAGCTGATCTGCGCTTTGGTGAAGGAAGATCAGCAGAAGGGAGAACTACATTTCCCAGCTGACGTTCCTGCGTGCGCCCCTGCCGGTGCGAGGGCGGGGAGGGGTGTGTGTGTGGAGGGGGGAGGCGAATGCACCGGGTGCTCGCTCCCTGCCGTGCGCTCTTCGCCCGCCGGAGCCTCTGCCCGAGGATGAGGTGGGAGGCGCTAGAAACCACTTAGCTACCAACCGCCCAATGCTGCAGCACTCGCTCGCTCCCCGCCCCCCTGCCAGCGGAAGCGCCCGCGGAGCACAATGCAGCACTGAGGCAGCGCCGCGGCGGTGCAGGCTGCAGCTCCTGGGGCCCGCTGCAGCACCGGCCTGGGCTGGGAGGGGGTGGGGGGCGGCGACGGCAGCGGGCGGGCTGGGAGCTTCGGGAGCTGGACGCAGCGGAGGAGCATGAGAAGCTGAGCGCCCGGGCACGGCGGGCTGACAGCAGCATCATGCAGGCAGCGGCGGCGGCACCCGTGCCCTTCTTGCTGCTCTGCGCCCTGGGGACCTGCCCCCTGGCACGCTGCGGCCGGCCAGGTAAGTTCACCCACCCAGTGCGGCTTGGAGACTACTCTTTTCGGGGTGTCTGTGGAGACCCTGGGCGCATTGGAAAGGGACATCTCTAGTTCCCAAGTGCGCGGGGGAGATTTATTTGGGGGGGGGGGAGGAGGCTGAGAGGCAGCCAAAATTCAGGTGTGGGGGTTCGCGGGTGCATCTGAAGCCTGGAGTCAGAGGCCTGCGCCCCACGCGGGGGAAAGGGTGCCCTGTGTTGTGGGCCCCGATGGTGGATGCTCTCGGATGAGCTGGTCCAGGGCTCTCCAGCTGGTGTGTCTTCATGTCCTTTCCAGATGGGGTCCGGGAGGGAGGAGGCGGCGGGATTTTCATGGGGGGGGGGGAAGATGGGAACGCAGGATGGAGGAGAGTGTGATTCAGGATCCTTATTTTTGCTTTTCTCTTCTGTCTCTGCCCCCCCCCCCCCCTGCACACACACACACTTTCCTGCTTGGAAGGAGACGCCTCGCTGACAGAGCTGGAGAGAGGGAATGAAAACCGCTTCCTGGGGCGCCAGAGCGTCGTGCCACTGCGCCTCATCTACCGCTCGGGCGGCGAAGACGAAACTCGGCACGACGTGCTCAACACGCGGGTGCGGGGCGACCCCGGCGGCCGGCAGGTGAGAGGCCGGGGCGGGGAGGGGTCCTCGGCGCAGCCCGGCTGTCAGCGACCTCACATTTGCTGCGTTGCCCTGGAGACGAGGTGTAGTCGGTGAGAAGAGCATAGACGCTCCCTGTGCAAAAAAATAGAAGGAAAAGAGAGGTGGGGATGGGTGAGGGGGAGACCAAAACCCCTAGAGCACAGGCCCAAGGTCCAAGGTCCTTCTTGTCCTCACAAGAAGTTGGTGCAGGAAGCCTCCAGCCTCATTCTAACCTTAAAGAAAGGGAGGGGAAAGGAAGAGCCTCTCACCTTAGTAGCATACATTGGGGAGGAGATTGTTATTTAGGAAGAGTCTGCATCACCATCACCGTTGTTGTTTGAATCCTGATAGAGAAAACTTTGCAACTCAAGATTCATTCTGTAAGGAAAGAAAAAAAAGAGGGAGCGATGGGGGGGGGGGGGAGATGATTATATTCCAAAGAAACTCAGACCTGTAAAATCAAAATCAACTTTAAAATTCTCTGCTCACTTAGATCTGTGGACACCAGAGTTGTACCTACAAGAGTGACAATCCCCCCCCCCCCCACACACACACTTCATCCTTGGTCCTCTTGGTGTAATCAGGGCTGTTTTGTTTACTAAGCATGTATAAATGGTGTCTTCCAAAGCTAGTTTATTATTGTACCTGGAGTTAGATCAATAAAATATATCCATAGATATGCTTGAACGTTATGTTGAACTTATTGGTTAGTAAATATTTTTGGAGCCATATATTTATAGGCATTAACCTGCCAGTCCACCTACCTGAGAATGATATGAAGTTCATGTAGCTGAAAATTTTTATAAAATTTGCTGAAGTAAAGAAACATTGAACATGTATGCATGCATAAACATATTCACCAATCCAGATATACCGGAATGATGTGATAGTTGCACTGATTTACATGAGGAAGATCTATAAAAATAGAAAAATAAACTGTAATTTAGCCAAATACATGGTTTCCTTAAAAATTGCGCATGTAAGGTAGAAATTAAAGCTACTGTAATGGCCCTCAAAGTTAGGTATTGTAGTAGCCAACCTCATACTCTGAGTTTTGAATGAAGGACTCTATCATTTGAGTTATGTTTGGTGATGACCTATTTGCCTTTTGCATTTGACTTATTCCCATGGAGAAACACAATTTTCTTATCTTATTTTCAAGTTAATTAGAATTATTTCTATGAAGGAATATTCTCAGACCAATTTGCAATCTTTGATTGTAAAAAAATTTCAAACACTCACAAAACTAGACAAAATAATGCAGGGAACTCTAAGCTTCAGCAGTAACTCATGGTCAGTTTTGCTTTGTCTATACATATTTTTTTCCTTCCTGTATTATTTTTAAGCAAATTATATAATTTCAATCATAATAAATGTTAGTAATACACCTCTGAAAGGTAAAGATTCCTTAAAAATGTAAACCTGATATTATATTTAAAAAGGTAAGAATTATTTAATACTATTGAATAACCAATGTTTTCAGAAAAGTTTTGTTGTCATCTATTTGTGTATCTATGCATCTGTCTTTATGTTTATGTATCTAGCCGTCTTGGATCTGAGCAACTTGTAATTCCTACATAGTACACAATTGGGATGAAAAACTCTGGCTGTTCTACAAATAGGTATCATTTAGGTAAACATCATGAGTAGATCATTAATTCAAGTCAGAACTGGAAGTAATGTTGTTTAGGAAGAGTCTGCATCACCATTGTTTGAAAGCTGATAGAGAAAACTTTGCAACTCAAGATTTACTCTGGAAGGAAAAAAACGAGGGGGAGGGTGGGGAGAGATGACTATATACTCCAAAGAAAAACTGTAAAATCAAAATCAACTTTGAAATTCTCTGCTCACTTAATTGTGCCCCCCAACACCCACATGCTTCATCCTTGGTCCTCTTGGAGTAATTAGGGCTGTTTTGTTTACTGAGCATGTATAAATTGTGTCTTCCAAAGCTATGTTGTCATTAAAGTAATAACTATTCCACTGCCTGGCACATAATAAGGAACAGTTAGTGTATCTCTGTATGCATCACCTGAGAAGTCATTGCAGTTCACCATGCTCTGTAAATCATTGACAAGTGGAACTGAATCTGGCAGTTCAAATTGTAAAAACCTATCGACCAGAAACCTAAATCCCCTATAGTTAGGAAACTAAATTTCCATGTCCTTTTGGCATTTCTGATTTACTGACAGCTGTCAGGACCTGAAAACATATGTTGATTTTATATGATCTTTGGTATTTTTGTGGTAATTAAATAGATAATACCTGGGGTATCTTTAAGATATTTTTAGCAACTCATTTTGTATTTCAGAAATAAAATCAGGATGATTTTATTTTGTGAGCTCACAAAGCATATATGTGTATATATATATTCATTTGTTGATTATTTATTTATTTTGGTCATGGGGCTTGAATTCTGGGCCTGGGTGCTGTCTCTCAGCTCTTCAGCTCAAAGTGAGCACTCTAAAACTTGAGCCACAGCACTACTTCCGGTTTTCCAATAGTTTATTTTCCAATGGTTTATGGACATTCCTGTCCCAGCTGACTTTGAACCAAGATCCTCAAATCTCAGCCTCCTTAGTACCCTGGCATTGATTCATTTATTTGAAGGTATTTATTTACTGGGGCAAGTGCTTTGTAGCAATTTTTATGAAATGCCCTAAGGGTTTAGAGATAAAAGACAATTCTAACCTTTAAACTGTTCTCAGGAAAGTGGGAAGATGAATCAGTGAACAAGCAATTAGTTTTTACCCTAAGGTATGATTTGCTGGAGGTGATTACAGACAGTAGTCTGTTGAAGAGCAGCAGACTAGGTAGGTTCATTTGGGTGGGTGCTGTGTGATCTTTGCAGAATGAGTTAGGAATTGGCCCTATTAAGAGAAGGAAATATGTGTATCTAATTGCAGGCCAGCCAAGTACATAGACAAGTAGAAGTCCAGATAGTCCAGATTTGCCTATGTTAATTGCAAAGAGTTAAGGGCAACAAGAGGAAAGTGGGATATAGAAGCTGCACATCGTCCTAACTTACTCAAGAGTTTGATTTGTCCAGAAGGCGATCCAAGGATTTCAGTAAGGAGAATTAACTGGCCTAATTAACTGGTCCTAATTGATAGAAATGAATAATTTTAACTTCAGTGAGCAAATAGTGATTTGTTTCATTTTGTTCACTGGTAAATGTCACGTGTATCATTATTAAATTATTTAAGAACTTAATTCCTAAATATACTGAAAATGTTGTCGATGAGTAATATTTATAAAGCACTTAGAACAATGCTGGGCATATAGTAAGTAGCCTAAAAGCCTGTTAAATAACATTAACTCCCTCAGGCTGCTCCAGTACTATTTAGAAATTTTATTACATCATTGGAATGAAAACTGGTAGCCTAAATGCTTGAGTTTAACACATTCTAAGCCAAGTTACAAATTACTCAAATTTCCCTAACTAAGTAGAATTGAATAGTTCCAGAGAGAGGAGCCCTTATACGTCATTTATCTTAATTCAGGAATTGTTTCTCATCTGGTAGGATCTAGCAGTTGACCTAGAGTAAGGTCATCAGCCTTGTATTACTTAATGACCCCTAACACTCATCAGAACTATGACTGTATAAATATCCTACTTTTATTTTTAATGCGTTCTTTTTCTGTTTTCATCCTTAAATGGGAACATAAAGCTATTTTAGAATAAATTTCATTTGGTTCTATTTAAATGGTAACTATGTTGGTGGGAAATAGTGACTTTGTTGGGTCTATATAATAAAAAGTTTCTTTAGTGCATTGTTTAGTTATTTCAATGCTTAAGTTTTACTCCAAGTAGGATGATCAGCCATATAGAAAGCTTAGTGAGCCATAAAGTCTTGGAAGTGGTAGAATATTTATTCTTCACTATGTGTAACTGTACTCTACTCAAGGTTGTCTACTTAGTTAGAAATAATTTTAGGGTTGGAAAATAGCACTAGAATATTCAAAATATTTTATCTTTTTCCTCCTGTCTTGATATTATTAATCCTGGATGAATTGCATGTTTACAGGAAGAAGGATAAAACTTACTTTTTTAAACTGACAATGCATTGGGTAAGATTGCTGAGTCTTACTGATGTTTAGATACTGGTAATTTGTGTTATTTTTGATTAGAATAAGCATCTAAATGGTCATAATGAGATGATGATGATGATGATGATTTTTTATTTTACTAACCAAGCATTAAAGATAGGTTATTTGGTAGCTTATTTTATTGTGTGGTCACTTCATGAATTTTTAATAATGTTTTTCACTCAGTGATTTTATTTCTCTATCATTAGCAGAATTTCTTTTTTTTGTTGTTAGAAGCCTTTGATGTCAAGAGTAGATAGGTTACTTTTCTCTATTTCATCCCCTGGAAAGTTGCAGCTTCTTAATAGTCATAGTCATGTGTCAGTGACATGGATGTACAATTTCTTGTAGTTTTGATAACCAGTAATGAGTGGGAACGATGCAAGATGGCAATGAGATGACATGCAGAGTTTCCTGTAATTTTTCTGTGAATATCTTTGTACATGTGTTTTAAGTGTGGATGAGCTGTGCTTAAAATTGTGCTGTTTCATTTGGGAGTACTGAGTCAGCTTGACAGTAAATTGTCTGCAGTGCAGCTTTCCTTGGCAGAAATGGGCTCCTAGGAATTACAACTTTGGAGGTATTTTGCAGGATAGCACACACATCATCTTTTAATACAATGGGCATTTGTTTAAATAGCTTAATATAGATAAAGTTTTACTCCCAAGCACAACTTTGTCAACTGCACTGACCAGGAAGGGAACATTTCCCAGCACTTTCTTGTTCACCTATCAGCCCTCTTTTACAGTTGAATAGTTTCAAGAGAGTAAAAAATTTAAAAATTATAACATTTACCTTTATTTAAATTTTTATATCTAAGTGTAACCACAGAGTCTGAGACAGAAGAGACCTTTGAAGTAACCTAATCTAACTCAGGAATTCCTTATGGT